CTCAAAAAAGGAATTTGAGTTTCAACAAAGGAATTTGAGTTCGAAAAGAATTTGAGTCTCAAAAAGGAATTTAGAGTTTCAACAAAGGAATTTGAGTTTCACATTTAATCAATTTTCTTATTATCTTAAAATATAAATAATATAATTAAATCGATGCAAATTACAAACAGGTAACTACTATTCACTTCTAGGTCTTTTTTTCCTTTTTTTTTTTAAACCATATTATAATTATCTAATAAATCTACTAAATAATGCCCACTTGTCTAAAATCTTTCAATGCGCAAAAGTACATTTGTTGCGCAAATAAAATGCAATAAAAGAAAATATAAGTTATTATACCTATTAATATTTTAAAAAAAGTCAATTCAAATTTAGAAAAATTGATATTTGTGCCATGTCAGCATTATCATTAAGCCAAATAACTTCTATTTCCTTTCATATTTTCCAATGCTATGAAAATCAAAATAATATTCCAAATTTCCTCCTCCTGTTTACCGAAAAAAAAAAAAAATTCTCCAAAAATTTTTTAGCCTAGGCTGTTTTTCCTGGCTCTTTATTTTATTCTAAATTTAACCATTTCAATCTTTCTCAATCATTTTGTATCGTTGAGTTATTTAAACAATAGCAAACAAAAAAAATGGCAAATATTTTAGGTGAAATATTTTAAATATAATATTTTAAAGGCTAAAAAAAAAAAATCTTTACGATGCAAATTTTTTTTTCTAAAATTTTTAATTAACAAATTGAAAAGTTAAATGAAAGATTAAATTATTCAAATAACCAGGTGATAATATAATTCAAACAAACTTTTGAAACGTTTAGCCACTATTCTTTAAAGATAAAAGATATTAAGATGTAAAAAATTTTTTTTTACTATTCTCAAATTGGTTGATAAGTCAAATGGAAGTTTAAATTTAAAAGTGTCAAAATGAAAGGTTAAATTATTCAAATGACCAGGCAATGATATATCTAATTTTTATGTTCGAATAAACTTTTAAAACTTTTAGGTATAATACTTTAAAGATAAAAAAACGATATTAAGATGTGAATTTTTTTCTTTTCAGTATTTTCAAATTGGTTGAAAAGTCAAATGAAAGGTTAAATTTGGAAGGGTCAAATGAAAGATTGATTGAAAGGTCAAATGAAGGATTAAATTATTCAAATGATCAGGCAATGATGAATATTACTAATTCTTTACTAACAAATAAATTTCTATGAATATTGCTAGGATAATTTTGACAGCTTTTAGTGTGTGTGTATGTGTGTGTGTGTGTGTGTATGTGTGTGTGTGATGTGTGTGTGTATGTGTGTGTGTGTGTGTTTTTGATTGGATATGTAAGAGAGCTGTAAAATGGAAGGGTGGATGAAATGGAAAAAGGGGTGAAGTAGTTGTTAGCTTTTAAAATTTTTCGATGGAAAATAATCAAAAAGCTCATGATTTCTAGATGGATAACATGAAAAACACATCAATGAATTTCAACTTAACTTAGCTAAAAGCAATCCTTCAAAAGCACTTCACT